GGCGCCATCTATCGGTAGATTAAAGTCACGCCCATTCCGAACACATTATTCTTGACCAATGGTAGCACTCGAACTCTTCAATTTGGAGGTAAAAACACTGTAGCGTCTAAATTCTACACACTTGGAAAAGCAGGAAACGAAAATATACGTTGACATTCATGCATTTGTGCAAGAAACATACACAGGAACTTCTATTAGTTGATTAAAAACATCCAAATTGTCACTAAGTATAGTCGTATGTTTAGGGATGTAAAGACTTGTTGCACAATAAGCACGTGGCAATTGTTAACATACACTTTCTACATTTACACGTGATCATGTTATAGGTGCTTTATGATTGGATGCAGCGAGTTTCGACTGCAACCAATGAAAATCATAACCTTGTGTCTCCGAAATTCTATCTCAATCCGCCAAGGGTGGAGAGGAGGGAAGTGCATCATAACCCTTGGCTAGCGAAGATGATAAACTAGAGGCTCTAAAGAGCCTGTGTCGCTCACCTTGGGCTATGTGCATATTAAGCAAAGGACACAGATGGATTCATGACAAAATTGAGTTTTGGTGATGGTGATGTGTTTGTAGATCTTACTCAACTGAACATTCTTGCTGCTTACAATTATCTCTAACTATAATGAACTTGGCCCAGAAGTTACAGTGGAAAATATTGTAAAAATTTACAAAAATTTACAAAATTATTTGTAGGTCTACTTTGCTGTACATTATTGCTGTTTACAGTTTATCTGTATCTGTAATAATACTGAAGATAACCAAAAGCTGCAAAATTTTCTCAAAATTACCAATTCAGAGGCAGCAACCCAACAACGGGTTGCCTGATTGGTCTGAAAATTTCAGACCAAATAGATTTTGACCTAATGAACAATTTTATCCTCGTCAGATTTGCTCTAAATGCTTTGGTTTCAGAGATATGAGCCAAAAACTGCATGTTACCCTATGTACTATTTTTGCCATGTCGGACCATCTTGGTTCACTGGTGGGTTCATCGGACACATTTCTTAAACTATATACCCTAATGATGATTGGGGACAAGTTTGGTTAAATTTGTCTTAGTAGTTTCAGAGGAGAAGATTTTTGTAAAAGATAACAAAAATTTACGAAAAAATGTTAAAAATTGACTATAAAGGGCAAAAACTCCTTAAGGGGTCAACAGACCATTTTGGTCAGGTTGACTTATTTGTAGATCTTATTTTGATGAACATTATTGCTGTCTACAGTTTATCTCTATCTATAATAAAATTCAAGATAATAACCAAAAACGGCAAAATTTCCTTAAAATTACCAATTCAGGGGCAGTATCCTTGATTTAATAGATCGGACGAACAATTTTTCTGTAATAAAATTGTCATAAATTGGTCAAAAGATTAGCAATTATCACAACATTAGAAAAATGCCAATCAGAGAACTTTCAAGTGAACAAGCTAACAATCTAAATGCAATTAAAAGGAATACCCTGAAATCAGATTAACATTCTACATATTTACATGCCTTTAATTTGTCTAAGCACACAGTGGTTCAACATGTTTATTGAGGACTACGCCAGAATTTGTCCAAATGTGTCAAAACAATCAGGTATCTGAGTTAACGTCGAATTCATAAGTTGAAAAACTGCTTGAATGATCTACCAAGTATAAAAAAGAAAATTTAGTATAAATGCCAATGAGACAACTCTCCACAAGAGATCAATGACCCAGAAATTAACAACTGTAGGTCACCGTATGGCCTTCAACAATGACCAAAGTCCATGCCGCATAGTCAGCTATAAATTTAAAACAATTTAAAAAGAAAACTAACGGCCTAATTAATGTACAAAAAATTAAGGAAAACAAATATTTAACACATCAACAAATGACAACCACTGATCATGCATTAAATTACAGGCTCTGACTTTAAACAAGAACATACAGAATGTGGCGGGATTAAACATATCAACGGGTGCCAAACTCTTCCCCTAACCTGGGACAATGGTGTAACAGTACAACATAAGAACAGACTATAAAAATCAATTGAAAAGGCTAAACTCATCAGATGGGTACAAATAAAAATACATCTAACACAAACACAAAGTGGACGTGGGAGGGTACTTGTACATCCCAACAACAAAATGAAAACTAAGAACAGATTTAAGAATACTTGTAGTTACTGACAGCTTGTTCAAAGAAATTAACAGCTACTAAATAATGTCATGCATCTAAGACTAAACTATCCATCATTACACATCCAATGAATTTAGTGTAAAGACGTCTTAAGCATAATTCATAATGGTCTTGTTGTATAGATTATAGGTACTGACTTTGTTTATCATTTAAATGACGTTGTATGGCGTTATTTTTAACCTTTTCGGTTTGATCCATTTTTAAGGATATTGTTTTGGCGTGGCTCCGTACTTATACATCCCGCCATTGTGTTATCATGCTGCAGTCATTATTGTGCTCGTCTGTTTTTTGTTTTTCGCACATGTCCTTTGTCTTTATGCAATTTTGTTTTTCTTGGTTGAAAATAGTTTTGTTTTAAAAAGAATAAAATTATAAAACAATGTTGACTGCTGTACCCTATTTTTACATATTATATCTGTTTGTTTTGCTCACACATTGTTGTCAATATAATGTTTTATTATGTAAAATTGAGAATGGAAATGGGGAATGTGTCAAAGAGACAACAACCCGACCATAGAACAGACAACAGCAGAAGGTCACTAACAGGTCTTCAATGCAGCGAGAAATTCCCGCACCCGGAGGCGTCCTTCAGCTGGCCCCTAAACAAATATATATACTAGTTCAGTGATAATGAACGCCATACTAAACTCCAAATTGTACACAAGAAACTAAAATTAAAAATAATACAAGACTAACAAAGGCTAGATAGAGCCTCCTGACTTGGGACAGGCACAAAAATGCAGAAGGGTTAAACATGTTTATGAGATCTCAACCCTCCCCCTATACCTCTAGCCAATGTAGAAAAGTAAACGCATAGCAATACGCACATTAAAATTCAGTTCAAGAGAAGTCCGAGTCTGATGTTAAAAGATGTAACCAAAGAAAATAAGTAAAATGACAATAATACATAAATAACAACAGACTACTAGCAGTTAACTGACATGCCAGCTCCAGACTTCAATACAAGTGAGAGGCTTAGCAAGCTATAGAACTAGGTTTAATCTACCATTTTTTTTCAAAAGGAAATGTCTGTACCAAGTCTGGAATATAATTTTAACAGTTGTTAGCAATTAGTTTGATGTGATTGAGCTTTTAATTACATTTTGACATTTGCTTAAAGACTTTCCGTATTCAATTTTTCTTGGTGTTTTCGTTATTTTACTTTTTTCATTATAAGCGATATGCATGTCTTGGTTGAAACGCATGTTTCATCTGAAATCAGCTACATAAGTTCCTTCTTCTACCTATATATAGCTAAGTAGACATGCTGCTTGCTTGGCTATATAGAAATACAGAATAGGTAGCATAATCAATATATGTTCACACAATATAGTACAGGAGTTGGTTTCACAAAAAAACTTACGACTACGATTGGTCTTAAGTTATGAACAAATCAGTATACTTACAATCAATTTTAGTCGTAAATTTTTTTGTGAATCGACTCCAGACTTTCAAGAACAATTCTGATACTGCTTTATGATGATTTCAATAATTTGAGACACTAATTTCATCTCAAACGAGAAGGACAAACGTATAGAAATGAAATCAGTTACAGATATCTATATTTCCAGTTAAGTATATCAACAGCAATTTATTTTTTTCAGTTACCCATATCATCACGTTTTTTGGACGACCGATTTCTCCTTTTAGTGGTTAAACTATGAAAAATCCCATTGTATTTCAGTTTCAAATTTAGGAAATTAGTCTTATAAGACAGGAAATACCGAAGAATAGAACATGGTTATTTCACAATCTACAAAAGAAATATTGACTAGAAAGTCGTCCACCTTCTTTGGATATACGTAACTGCAGTTACGGAGATCACATTTACCCAAGTGAACCCAACAACAGGTTGTCCGTTTCATCTGAAAAATTCAGGGCAGATAGATCTTGACCTGATAAACAATTTTACCCATGTCAGATTTGCTCTAAATGCTTTGGTTTTAGAGATATAAGCCAAAAATACCCTATGTTCATTTTTTAGCCATGGCGGCCATCTTGGTTGGTTGGCCGGGTCACCGGATATATTTTTAAAACTAGATACCCCATTGATGATTGTGGCCATGTTTGGTTAAATTTGGCCCAGTAGTTTCAGAGAAGAAGATTTTTATAAAAGTTAACGACAGATGACGAACGCCAAGTGATGAGAAAAGCTCACATGGCCCTTTTGGCCAGGTGAGCTAAAAACGAGAAACACTTATGAACCATATGAACAAATGACAACTACTGAACATCAGTTTTCCTCACTTAGGACAGGTGCAAACAATTGCAGTCGGTTTACACGTTTTAATAGGTACCAACCTTCACCCTTATCTGAAACAATAGTGTACCATCACAACATAGAAAGACACACTATAAAATATCAATTGAAATGGCTTAACTCAATCAAAAGACATATTAACACAAGTGAACATACACTAAATGAATTAATTTAATCCATGATATAATGTAAATACAAAATCAATAAAATAAGGGGTGAATAATTAAAGTAACAGTATTATACCGCTGTTTATTTTGTTTTATCATGTGTATTTTCATATCATTTATGCAGTTGTATTGAAAATTTTCATTTTACTTGACTTTCATACTAATATATGCCCTTTATGTTGCATATTTGTTAATGCTTTTCCTATGATGAGGGCCTCAGGGAAGATCAGTTAAATAGAACTGTGTTACCCTCTAAAAATAAAGTTGTTGTTGTTAGTTCTGAGCCTGATTATGAAAGGTTTTGCCACCTACAGCAGTGGTAATTAATCTATTCTAGGGGTAGATAAAGTATTTCGAACAATTCAAAGTTTATAAACACTTAGTTTATTAAAATAAACACATACCTTACATGGAATATTTATTCTTCCTCTGCTGATAATTTTTCCTGGTCTTATTTCTTTCATTGAAGACTTTGTATTTTATAAGATCTCTCCTAATAACAGGGTCTGTTTCATTGGCCATTACTTTTGGATATTTTTTCATAAATACTTCAATGGCCTTAAAACCTGAAATACAATATTATTTTAATGACTTTTTTAAAAGTTTTTAATGTTCAACACCATTAACTGTTAACACAGAGATATGTCACGCTTTTTTGTAATTTTGATAACGCAAATGTTGAAATTAAAAAAGCAATACTATAACATGAAAGTTATGCAAATATTCAAAGTGAATGAACCATGACTGATGGTACATGGCTAAACAATCTCCATGGAAATGAGATGTGCCAATGCTAATACAACTGCATACCAAATATCATTGACTTATCATAAGTCGTTTCCTTTAAACAAACCTACACACAAACATAATTAATTTAACTTGTAAACTATGTAAAAGTTTCATAGTCAATGATCCATGATGAGGGGGTAACGCGACTATATAATCTCCATGGAAACAAGACTGGGAAATGTGATGTGCTAATCCTTATACAACTGCATACCAATTAACATGGGCCTACCACTAATCATTCAGGTTCCCCTACCCTTGAACTGACCTGATCACAAACTTTAATACATGTAAACTAAGCAAAAGTTTCAAAGTAAATAGACCATGACTGAGGGGGTGGTGCCAAATAATATCCATGGAAACGAGATATTCCAATGCTTATACAACTGCATACCAAATATCATTGACCTACCACTTATGTAAAGTGATTCTCCATAAACTGACCTAGTCACAAACTTATACATGAAAACGTAGCAAAAGTTTCAAAGGAAATAGACCACTGGGGGGCAGGTCTAAATATTCTCTGTGGAAATAAATGTGTCAATGCTAATACAACTGCATACCAAATATCATTGAACTACCACAATTGTTTCACCATAAAATAGACCGAATCACAAACGATTACAATTGTTGACGCCGTTGCCTGAAACAGCATATCTATGTCTTGCTATTTGGCCCTGTCAAGGGGAGACAAAAATCAGAGTATTACTAAAATATCTCCCTGTTTCATTTCATTTGAGTTTGGTTCATAGTTTGTTTTCAGTAGCACTCAAATTGACAAACCTTGGTATACAAAAGCATCATACAGTGAAACTTCTCAAAAACAGCAACCAGTCGGCTCACATAAAACGGCCAGTTTCTGGGGTCGGCAGGTTTGTTTAAAATTAAAATCAATCCAGAGTTACTTCACTTCAATATTTGTGTTTGATTTTATATGAAAATGTATTTCACGTTAATCAGAATATATGTTTTTCTCTGTGAGTTTTAGTTTTGCATATTATTATTCATTTAAAATATATCTACAACTTCTATTTTATGGAACTCATTTTTTTAAATTTTGCAAGAAAATATTAAATAAAATATACCCTCTTTTAATGATATTTTTGTAACAGTCTATTAAAATGTTCTCTGTCATTATCAAAATCATGTATTATGATTTAAAAATAACTGCATGTGTTACAATATAATAGCACTATAATTATTTTTACTTGTCATCACATTATTAGCTTGGGTACTGACATGAACTTGAAAGGTGAACAGTAGTCACTGGCATGCAGGTGAACTGATTGGCTGAATTATAATCTTTGGGTATATAACAATTATAGGTTAGGATTAAGGATTTCAGATAACAAGACCGGTTTTATGAGGTGAAATGTGATTTATTTTGATGAACCAAATACAAAAATACTAAAGGGCCGTGGCCAGTTTTATAACGTGAGATTAAATGACCATTTAATTGAATACAAATCAGCTAGTACTTCCTGATCTGGCCAGTTCTAGGTGAGAGCCTGTATTCAGAGAGACCGGTTTAGAGAGGTTTCTTTGTACTGACTTTGACCACGTACTGACAGTACTGACCCTATGATAAGAAAATATTGATTGGTTTGTGTATGGTGCATAAATTTTTTTATTAAAGCTCTAAGATTGCAAAAGCATCATAGGATTGATGTCAGGTCACTCTGACATTGACTCCTATAATAGTTAATTGTTTTTCCAAAATTAGGTCAACATAATTTCAATGATACAAAATGTATGTTGAGGGCATGAAGACAGACTTACCCTTCTGTAGCACTTGAGATCACCCCCTGTTTTTGGTGGGGTTCGTGTTGCTTAGTCTTTAGTTTTCTATGTTGTGTCTTGTGTACTATTATTTGTCTGTTTGTCTTTTTATTTTTTAGCCATGGCGTTGTCAGTTTATTTTCAATCTATGAGTTTGACTGTCCATCTGGTATCTTTCGCCCCTCTTTTATATTCCTATTAACACACCAAACTTTGTTTGTATGGAGTGTATAACAAGGAAAACTTAACATTGACGAGGGAACAGGAAAATGAGATAAAGGACAGATAATACCTGCCAAACAGACATGCTCAGTGGTTGTCGTCTGTTTATGTGGTTCATAAGTGTTTCTCGTTTTTTATATAGTTTAGACCATTGGTTTTCCCGTTTGAATGGTTTTACACTAGTAATTTTTGGGGCCCTTTATAGCTTGCTGTTCGGTGTGAGCAAAGGCTCCGTGTTGAAGACCGTACCTTGACCTTTAACGGTTTACTTTAATAAATTGTGACTTGGATGGAGAGTTGTCTCATTGGCACTCATACCACATCTTCCTATATCTATGTACAATGTACAATTAACCCATACACCAAATATAGTAGTCTTATAGCTTATAGTATCAAAATAAGCTGTTGACACAGAAATATGTCTCACATTTTTGTAATTTTTATAGTATAATGATAATATTGAATCCAAAAGGAAACATTTAAACATATAAATGCAAAACATTCAATGAACCATGACTTAAGGTACAGGACCAAATGATCTCAATGGAAATGCAAAATGCCAATGCTTATAAAGCTGCATACCAAATACCATAAACTTATCCTTAGTGGTTTCCTAAACATTAACATAAATACAAACGTTAACTTATGTTAACATTTATGTTTATGTTAATGTTTAGAACCCAATAAGGATAAGTCAATTGTATATTGTAATCTTGTTAGGGGTTTGGCCAAATTATCTCCATGAAAAAGAAGACTGCATTTGTTTGCACCTGTCCTAAGTCAGGAACCTGATGTTCAGTGGTTGTCGTTTGATAATGTGGTTTCATTATTTTATATAGATTAGACCGTTGGTTTTTCTGTTTGAATGGTTTAACACTAGTCATTTTTGGAGCCCTTTATAGCTTGCTGTTCCACCAAGCGACCCACAGGTCTGTGTTGAAGACTGTACTTTCACCTATAATGGTTTAATATTACTTTTACAAATTGTGACTTTGATGGAGAGTTGTCTCATTGGCACTCATACCACATATTCTAGATCTTCTGTCTTTTGAAAATGCTAATACTATTATTTACTTTAAATTAGTGCTTCATCTTAAACTGATATAATCACAAACTTTAACAAGCAAACTATGCTCTGAATACTGTATTTTGGTCATAAACAAGCTCCTGTCTAAATGTCATAAAATTCCATGTAAAGGTTTCTCAAAGTTATTGATGTCTAAAAAAGCTTTAGCCTTAGACTTTATGTCCCTTTACTGAACTTAGTTAAGTGTAAATCAGGTGCCTTTTTTATCTGCACTGTAACTCTTCAGCATTCGGTCAGGGCACCAAAGACATAGCAGACTGGTTATTAGTACAACTGACATATATACAGCATAAGGGAGGATCTGGGTGGGACAGTGTTATGAATTAATCTTAGACTATATCTGATGTTAACTATAGAAAAACATATTATCCATTCATTAATAAAATATGAAAAAAACGAAAACAAATATTTTCTAAATTTCACTCTGGGTACTGTCTTTTATAGTCATAAACAAGCTTTTGTCTCAATTTTATGAAATTCCATGAAGGCTTGACAAAGTTATTGATGACTGAAAATCTTTAACCACAAGTCTTAATCTGAGTGTTAACTGTAAAAAAAAAACTAAGTTCATTTAGTAGTAAATAATGAATAAAATTCGTAAGGGTTCTGCGGAACCCAGTGTCTCGCCTACTTTTTCTGTTAATCGCAGGCTCAACAAAAATGAGGAAGTAAATCAATAAAAATATTCCTCTTGATACTATCTTTTGATTGTAAGATTAGCTTCTGTCCAAGTTTGGTAAAAATCCAGGATAGTTTATGAATCTAATAAATGTTTAATAACTAAATTAACTGCAGACTGAATTTAATGTTAATTGGAAGAAAACAAAATTTCCTTCTAGATATTAGCATATGATCATAAACAAGCTTCTGTCCAAGTTTGGTACAAATCCAAAATAGTATAAGAGAGTTATTAAAATTTTAAAAACTTTAACCACAGAGTGAATGTGTTGTTTCCTGGCAGAAAATCTAAGTCCATTTAAAAGTAAAATACGGAAAAAATGGATTTATTTTTTTACAAAATGTCCTTCTAGATACTAGCTTTTGATCATAAACAAGCTTCTGTCCAAGTTTGGTACAAATCCAGGATAGTTTAAGAAAGTTATTAAAATTTTAAAAACTTTAACCACAGAGTGAATGTGTTGTTTCCTGGCAGAAAATCTAAGTCCATTTAAAAGTAAAATAAGGAAAAAATGGATTTATTTTTTTACAAAATTTACTTCTGGATACTATCTTATGATCATAAATAAGCTTCTGTCCAAGTTTGGTACAAACCCAGGATAGTTTAAGAAAGTTATTAAAATTTTAAAAACTTTAACCACAGAGTGAATGTAATATTTCCCGGCAGAAAAACTAAGTCCATTTATAAGTAAAATACAGAAAAAATGGAATTTTATTTTTACAAAAAAAACTTCTGGATACTATCTTATGATCATAAACAAACCACTGTCCAAGTTTGGTAGAAATCCAGGATAGTTTAAGAAAGTTATTAAAATTTCAAAAACTTTAACCACAGAGTGAATATTTGTGGACGCCGCCGACGACAACGACAACGCCGACGGAATGTAGGATCACTATGTCTCGCTTTTTCGACTAAAGTCGAAGGCTCGACAAAAATCAAATAAATATTTTCATAATTTTGCTCTGGATACTGTATTTTGATCATTAACAAGCTTCTGTCCAAAATTAATAAAATTCCACATGAGGCTGAAAAATTTAATCACAGACTGAACCTAAATGTTGATGCAGATGAAAAAGGAAACTAGGATCCCTTTGTTGTGCTTTTGCAAAATAACTTTTCAGAGAGGTTGCGCCCTGTGCCCTTTTTAAAGTTTCCAGGGTGCCTTTTGCCTTTTTCATAGTGCCCTGACTTTTTGAAGATCGATTGTATTTTATTTTGTTCGTTTTGTTACATCGAGATGACCATGAGGGCATTCCAATGTATTGCTATCGCCTGGATTTGCACACGTAACTTTCATTTTGGGTTTGTAACCGATCTATAAACATGATAAATATGTGGATATTAACTAGTGCAAACTAACATTCCTTATCGTTTGTTATAAATACATCTCTTCAATGAATACTGATAAAAATATGTTTGTTTAGAACATAAATTAATAATATGAAAATGTTTTGTCGTTAGATATATATATATATAAATAAGTAAAAAATCATTGATAATATCTATGCACACGTACCGAAAAATTGTGTTAATTAAAGCATGCAGAAGAATATCTCAAAAACGTTATGCGACAATCCCGGCAAGGACCGGTAACTCTGTAATTATTTTTGCGGGAAAATATGAATGCCTACTCATATCCAATCTTTTAGAAAAATCGAATTTTTACAGAAGAATGTCCACCATGCACTTGCACTGCACTATTATTAGAATAGTAGAATAGAATGATATACAAATGGATGAAAATTATATATACATGTAACTGTTATATTAGTATAATATATAACAACAAACCAGTGTATACTGATTTGTATCACTACAATATAATAGTTATTACGGTGAGGTTGAATTTCCTGTCATTTATTTATCATCCACGCATGAAATTGTCTCAAAAAAAAGTATATCTCTGTACATTAACCTCAGTTTCAGGTATAGAGATGTGATTTTTTCTGTGACAAGTGCTTTTGACCTTCCACAAGAACTTGCGGTCATTCGATGTTCAGTACTTCAGTACTTTGATTATGATCTGCTATTTCGAAATTAAACTGCCTTGTCAACACTGCATGCTCATTGTAATATAAATAGGTAAAAATATGTTTAACTGTTGTTAACAGCTGATCAGTACACAAGTTATTTAATGATGATTTGAACTCATTAAATAAGTATCTATATAACATTATGAGTTTATGTTTCTTGTCTTATTCCAATCACAATGCCCAAGTGTGAAAGACGTTTACAAGATGAAATTAAAAAATCTAAAGAGACGAAGTCAGAAGTTTGGTCGACATTTTTAGTACTATGTGGGTCTTCTGTGTCAATTTTGTCAGTTCCAATTTTAAATTGAGTATTTGATATTTGTAGAAAAACTTCGAGATTTTTTAACCTTTTAGATTTTACAAATGAAACTTTCTAACAATAGTCCTGGGCTATGATGATAATTGAACAAAAACATCTTAAATTTTTAAAAACCTTTTTGATGTTTCAAATCATTCTTTCTAAATTCTAAAAACAAGAAAAAATATTTTTTTCAGAATTTGGAATGGAAGTAGTAAAAATGAAAGTCCAAAAAAACATGATGATAACTTAAAAAGAAAAAATCTAGAGTGTAGGGCCTCCACATCTACAGAAAGCCCTAATAAAAGAAGAAAACATAACAGTGGACATGGAATTGGTTTTGATTACATATGGCAGTTCGGTAGACCATGGCTACAAAATATTCACGATGCCATAATTTGTCTGATACCGTATAGGCGGTTATTTTCGCGGGGTGTTTATTTTCGCTTATTTTGGCGGATAAACGAAAATCGCGAAAATTTATGCATACGTTTGGTAGTTTCGAAGTTAACATGGTTAAAGGATTTTGTAAACGATCTATTTTTCCCTGTTGGCAGGTCAATAACAGTATATGTTAGTTTTAACAAGATAAATGCCAAAGGGCATTGTACATAAATGTATTTTATAAAATGACTGTCAGGTGTGTATACCCTTATTAATAAGTGTCAATTAGAGTAAGAGTGTAAGGTACTCTTATCAGGTAATTATCCCATATTAATAAGTGTCAAACTATATAAGAGTTGTAAACACTCATGATAATTTTGTAACCTAATTAGTAAGTACATCAAAGGTCCGGTCAAATCTAATCAATCGTAAAATTTACAAATCATTTGAATACTTGTAACAAATAATTATCTAAGTTAGTGGTATTCTAATGATTAACTGTATCAGAAACTAATCAATAAATAAGAGGTCATTTCGGTAAAAAAAATAATTAATTGACCATAACAATAGACACTTGTTTGTCAAGTTTTACAACTTTTTAACTGCAAAAATTTCAGTAACCACCAAAATATTTAATTGGGATTTAAGAATCCACCAAAATAAAAACCGCCAAAATTTTTCGTATACTTTGTTGCCCCCAAATCGCAAAATTTTACACCCGCGAAAATAACCCGCTATATGGTATGTCAAAAGCACAGTAAAATTGATATATGGAGTAATGCCGGATGCAAAACCTTGCGGTTAGATAAAATAAAAGAACATGAACTATCCTCTGAGCACTTGGCCTCTGTTAATCGAAATTGACAAAGAATTTTAATGCTTAGTATACAAGTTGGATAATTGTAAATGAATTACTTAAACTTCTGAGTGATGAAGTAAGAGAAATATGTTCAATGATATGAGAAAAAGCTCAACCTACTCATTCATGGTTGATGAGGTTATGGACATCACCAATAAACATCTTGCTATTTGTGCTAGATATATAAATTATGAATGTAATATAAAGGATGCTTTTATATGCGACCCACTGATAAATGATGCAGTCAAGAAAGAACAATCATGGCTTGCCGAAATTCTTATAAAATGAAAAATTAGATTTAACTACACTATATCCTAACATTGTGCATTTACTGAGTACAGCTGCTGTATTTCCATTAGGCACAGCAGAGGTAGAAAGGTTTTTTCCTAGGTAAAGCTTTTAAAGTGTGACCATAGAAACAGAATAAAGCAGGACGCCTTGCAAAACATACTGCATAAAAGCTAAACTGTGACAAGCAATACTTTGAAAACTTGTGTAACAAGGTGCTTGACAAGTTTTACAGCTTAATCAGACACATTTTGTTTAACTAGATACTCTTATAATGATGATTGTGGTCAAGCTTAGCTAAATTTGTCTCACAGGAGAAGATTTTTGGAAAAGATTTAAAAAATTTACAAAAAATTGTTAAAATCTCACTATAAAAGGCAATAAAATGCTTCGCTGAGCGCAGCCTGATACGACCGCACAGGTCGAACCCTGAACAGTTGGGGCAAATTTGGACACAATATTCAAGCTTGATACTGTCTGAATTTGGATTGTGATCAAATTTTTGACATAATATAGGTTTCTGACACAAAATAAATGTGGTCAAAGATCGTATAAATCCATTGTGCAATACTGTGTAATTGAAGATTTCTTCTTGAAACTTTTCAAAAATTCGAAATTTTAAAAATTTGGAAAAAAAAATATGTATCCCTTAAAAAAAATTGGGAAAAAAATCCCCCCCCCCAACTTTTTGAAACCACCCTTGGAGCAATAACCCCAAAACTCAATCCCAGCCTTTCCTTTGTAGTATGGAACCTTGTAGTACAATTTCAGAGAGATCCATACACTTACACACAAGTTATTGTCTGGAAACTAGAAAAATGCTTGTTTTTGGCCCTTTTTTTGCCCCTAATTCCTACATGTTTAGGGCAATTAACCCCAAACTCAATCCCAGCTTTCCCTTTGTTATATGGAACCTTGTGGTACAATGTCAGAGAGATCCATACACTTACACACAAGTTATTGTCTGGAAACTAGAAAAATGCTTGTTTTTGGCCCCTTTTTGGCCCTTAATTCCTAAACTGTTGGCCCAATAACCCCTAAAATGAATCCCAACCTTCTACTCGTGGTATTAAACATTGTGGTACAATTTCAGAGCAATCGAAATACTTACACACTAGTTATTATCCTGAAACTAGAAAAATGCTTGTTTTGGGCCCCTTTTTGGGCCCTAATTCCTAAACGGTTGGGACCATCATCCCAAAAATCAATCCCAACCTTCCTTTTGTGGTATTGAACCTTCTTAAAAAAATTTCATAGAAATCCATTCACTTAAACTAAAGTTATTGTCCGGAAACCAATGTGTCTTCATACGACGACGCAGACAACGCAGCTGACGACGACATCATACCATTATACAATCCCAAAAAATTTTTTGTGGTCGTATAAAAACTCCTTAAGGAGTCAATTGACCATTTTGGTAATGTTAAATTTTTTGTAGATCTTACTTTGCTGTACATTATTGCTGTTAACAGTTTATCTCTATCTATAATAATATTGAAGATAATAACCAAAAACTGCAAAAAAAAATTTAAATTACAAATTCAGGTGCACGACACAACAACACATTGTCTGATTTGTCTAAAAATTTCAGGGCAGATTCTGATCTTGACCTGATGAATAATTTTACCCCTTTGTCAGTTTTGCTCTAAATGCTTAAGTTTCAGAGATTATAAGCCAAATCTACATTTTACCCCTATGTTCTATTTTTAGCCATGGCTGACACATTTTCTTTTAACTAGATACCACAATTATGATTGTGGCCAAGTTTGTGTAACTTTGGCCCAGAGGAGAATATTTTTGTAAAAGTTAACGACGGACAATGGACACCAAGTGATAAAAAAAGCTCACTTGGCCTTTTTGGCTAGGTTAGCTAAAAACTTATGCAGTGTCAAAAAATACTTTTTTCATACTGAAACCTTTTAAAAACTTGCCCTTATACTATAACATACCAGGTAGTGATCCTTTGGACTTTTCTTTAGACACGTCTTCGACATAATCCTTGAAGTATGTTCTTACAACCTTTTCATCCTCCTTATTCCAATTAACATATCTCCTTCCTACAATGAAAATTACTATGGTCACTTAGTACTGTTTCAATAAAGGTACAAATTTAATAACAAACCCAGTAGTTTCAGTGAAGATTTTTTAATAAGTTTACGACGACAGACATCGACAACGAATGACAGACGCCAAGTGTGATGACATTAGATCACATAGGCACTTTTGGACCCCGGTGAACTAAAAATGATACCTGTTGCTGTAGTGCCCAATTTGAAATTGACTTCAAGATGATAGTTACTTTCATTCAATGCTTTAAAAATGGTACTTGTTACCTGGCTATGTAATTAATACTTGAATAGTATAATCTTTTAAACATCTAATCACTAATCTCAGTGTCATCTATTTATGGTTAAGCACAACTTCATCAGTAATACTACATGACTGTCAGTCTCAAAGTACAATCTTTCTTACTATTGCAATAGCCTGATCTAAATTAGAGGTTCAAAGGAGCCTGTGTCCCTCACCTGAAATTTTTGTTTACAATTGATGGATGAAATGATGCAACCATTATACTTTTGCTTTAGTTTCAGAGATATAAGCCAAAAACTGCATTTTACCTCTATGTTCTATTTTTAGCCATGTCAGCTATGTTGGTTGGCAGGCGGGATCATTGGACACAATTTTTAACCTAGATAACTTATGATGATTGTGGCCAAGTTTGGTTAAATTTGTCTCTGTAGTTTCAGGAGAATATTTTTGTAAAAGATTTCAAAAATTTACAAAAAATTGTAAAAAAATTACTTTAAAGGGCAACAACTCCTTATAGGGTCAATTGACAATTTTGGTCATGTTGACTTATTTGTAGATCTTACTTTGCTGAACATTGCTGTTATCAGTTTATCTCTATCTATAATAATATTGAAGATAATAACTAAACATGCAAAATTTCCGTAAAATTACCAATTCAGGGGCAACAACCCAAAGACGTCTTGTCTTGTTCGTATAAAAATTTGTGGCAGATAGATCTTAACCTAATGAACATTTGTAAACCTTGTCAGGTTTGCTCTAAATGCTTTAGTTTCAGAGATATAAGCCAAAAACTGCATTTACCCCCTATGTTCTATTTTTAGCCATGGTGGCCATGTTGGTTGGTAGTTAGGGTCATCCAACACATTTATTAAAACTTAATACCCCAATGATGATTGTGGCCAATGCAAGTTTGGTTAAATTTGGCCTTGTATTTTCAGAGGAGACGATTTTTGTTAACGGACGACGCTGGATGACGGACACCAAGTGATGGTGAGCTAATGTCACTTTTTTCATAATAAAATTCAGCTTATCAATATTCTGAGTGCCAAAAAAATCTAACTTTTAAAGTTCAAATTATATCATACTCAATATTGAAACTTGCATAAAATTAAGGAGATATGGTAACATTTTTTTAAAACTTACCTTTCTTTTTACTTCTGATTTGTTCTTCAATTTGGTCATCTGCAATTTAAAAAGAGAGGACATAACAAAGGAAAGATTCATTCTCATAAGTTAGCCAACCAAACAATAAATTTTCTAATTAGAATGAATTTGATATAATTCAAATGATTAGCTGATGTATAGAAATTCATACATTCATATATTTCAAATAAAATTTGTTGATAAAAATTTATAATAGTTAATATCCACATGATCGATAATACTTAATCTTTTACCTTTACTTTTTCTTTTTAACCCTCTCTTGTGTGAACTGCTGCCTAATAAGGAAAAAAAAAGAAACATGGACTTTTAAAGAAAAATATGCTATAAATCCCTTAACCATGTTATTGCAATACTAGTTGCAGTGCATGTCAAAATAAAGTTGATAACTACAATTATGTATTTATAGGATTAAAATGTCTATGTGGATATTTTAAATCACTATAAAATCTACATTTGGTTACTGACATAATAAAATGCCTTTGAATACTATAGTGGTTTTCAATATTCAGACAAACAAATGTTGTCTCATTTTTACTGTAAAAGGTATTCAAATGTAGTATCATGTCAGAGTCCTGATCTTTACCATAGAAAAAATAAGAAGATACCAAGACAAAGCATACCATAAACCTTACTAAAAGTCAGGAAATACTCCTCAAATGCTTTTCTATGATAAACATTTCCAGCTTCACTAGTTGTAACCTTTGTGTTGTTCCTTAGAAGCGAAAATATGGTGACAAGTTTCATTCAGTGAATAATAAAAATTAAAGATAGAGATACTTTGGCTGCAATAAATATTTCTTTTGAATGGGCCATATCAAGATTGTGTGAAAATCAGGAATTGTATTCTTTGATCTATTTTCACATTATGACTAGGAATAGCAACATTATATTGCATACTTCATACTGTAAACCAACTTATTTTCGCAACAAATTATGCGAATATAAATCGTCGTGGAAAGTAAAACTTGGATGTTTCCTAATTAATCTTCCTCGAGTTAATTTGAGAATCGCAAAATTAAATCTCCGCGATATGGGATAGAAACAGCTAAACGCGAAATTAAGTATCCACGAAAAATAAGTTGTTTGACAGTATTTCTTTTAATTGATTAATTTTTGTTGTTGATAATTCACTTCTATATACTGACTAGTGTTAGTTTTATCCTGTTGTAGACTAGACATAGTTTTGGTTTAAGTAAAAAATCATGAGTGCCTAGTGAATTGAATGGTCTTTTCTATTATTTTCTTTCAAACAGTTTTATTCTTATGTAGTAATCAATGTTTATTGAGAAATTGATTAGTGTTGATGTTAGTATTCTAAAAAGAATGAGACAAGGGTTTCCTATCTGGAATTCTTTTTAGGAGGGTTGACTATCTCACAGGTGTTATTAAACCAAGGTTTCTGAATTGTTTGATTGAGATATACAAATTATTTTATCACATCCATGGCAATAATACCAAATCTCCTTATTTACAATAGTTCCAAATTCTGGAACGATGTGTGGGAAATTATTAAAGAAATGCCATTTGAGAAATTGCACAACTTTAATAAGGGTGCAATCTTTCTGTAAATTTTTTCAAATATCCTAGGATTAGTAAATTACCAAAGATGGTACCTTTTTCAACCTGCTCCCGTAACATTATTGTACTGGTTTTTGTTCATCATTGAAGGCTGTACTTTGACCTATATTTGATTACACCCACATCACTTAATCTTCGGTAGATTAAACTATTTCAATTGTAATCATACCACACATCCTTACAATTTTCATTTTGTGTTCAAGTAAGCCAAAATATATACCTTCACCATAATCTGTACTATAGTCACTTTCTATACTAGAATCATTCTCTGAGTCACTTTCTATACTAGAATCATTCTCTGAAGAACTGTATACCACGACTGAAAAATAATTATCAGAAGTTATATTTTAACAATAGATAACCTAATATAAACATATGTTCATTGAATTCTTTTCTGAACAATTTTAAAAATACCAATTAGTTTAAATAAGATTTTGAAGGAAATATGTTAAGTAAATTTTCTCAATGGCTATTCTGCTTGAACTGAGAGAATCTAGTGTCAAATACTTCCTCTCCTGCAAACACTAAACACTTATTCTTTTCAAGGTTAAATTGTCCCCTTGGGTGCAGGACATTTTAGTAACAAATTTGTAACTTCAGGGGTACTCTTGAGTTTAGCATTTTAGTGCTAATATTATAGTCCTTTTAGGCTCTGGATTAATCCATTTACCTGTATTTTCTATGGCCCATTTGAGCAAAAATTTATACCTAGTTGAATAATACTACAAGGCCTATGATAAAACCATGAACAGTAATGTATGCTAGGTTAGTGTCTAGTTTGTTTGTATTTAAAATTTTGTTAAAAATAGAAATAAATGTTGTTGAAACAAACAGAAGATAAAAATGCAATATGTGATGGTGTTTCTGTATACTATTATCAAATTACAATTCTCCAAAATGTCCTCCACAGGTCTTGTTTTAGCAAGGACATTATCAATTATAAATTCACAAGAAAATGTTCTTGTAAATAGTAACAATAAAAACATCATTGAGATAAAAAAAAAAATATATAAAAAAATGGTATGGTATAACTTCCATACAATGATATTATTTCCCTACTCCAATAGCAAATGAGGAATACAGCAGGCTATAGGAGCTTTGAGTAAAATTGGTTTAAAATGTTGCTATATAAATAATTTCTTAGAGTACAAACTTCAATTCATTTTTGATAGGTGAATACCTCTCTTGAACTTGCCAATATTTCAAATATGTATCCAGCTATAGATGAGAGAAGTTCATTTTTTAACAATTTTTTTTTTTATTTCACCTTCTAATGCAATTAACTCAATAAATAATGAAAATAAAACATCATACATGTTTGCATATGTTTCTAATAACACATGCACAGTAATGTAAGATTGTTTAGAAATAATTTTATTTATATCATAAGTTACTTTTTCTGATAGTTTATGAATCTAATAAATGTTTTAAAAACTTAAACATGTTAAACTGCAGACTGTGTGTAATGTTAACTGGAAGAAAAACTAAGTCCATTTATAAGTAAAATACGGAAAAAATGGAACAAAATTTTAACAAAATTTCCTTCTAGATACTATAGCTTTTAATCATAAACAAGCTTCTGTCCAAGTTTGGTACAAATCCAGGATAGTTTAAGAAAGTTGTTAAAATTTTAAAAACTTTAACCACAGAGTGAATGTAATGTTAACTGGCAGAAAAACTAAGTCCATTTATAAGTAAAATACGGAAAAAATGGAATTTTTTTTTTACAAAATTTACTTCTGGATACTATCTTATGATCATAAACAAGCTTCTTTCCAAGTTTGGTAGAAATCCAGGATAGTTTAAGAAAGTTATTAAAATTTCAAAAACTTAAACCACAGAGTGAATGTAATGTTTCCTGGCAGAAAAACTAAGTCCATTTATAAGTAAAATACGGAAAAAATGGAATTTTTTTTTTACAAAATTTACTTTTGAATATTATCTTATGATCATAAACAAGCTTCTGTCCAAGTTTGGTAGAAATCCAGGATAGTTTAAGAAAGTTATTAAAATTTCAAAAACTTTAACCACAGAGTGAATATTTGTGGACGCCGCCGACGACAACGACGACGACGCCGACGGAATGTAGGATCGCTATGTCTCGCTTTTTCGACAGAAGTCGAAGGCTCGACAAAAAGACAATGCAGACTAAAAAATCTGAAAGGTAAAACATATCATCGTAATAATAAATGGTATAATTTGATATTTTGAAGGTCTTTTACAGCCATTTCATACATTTAAGTGATAATTTAAAGCATATAATTGAGGTGGTTAATTATGCTTAACCCTGTATTTTTGTGCAACTCAAAGTTAAAGTAAGAAAATACATATTACATTTCTTTTGTCCTTTCTTTTCAGTACTTTTTGTCAATTCACTGCTACCTTCATCTACTAAAAGTGGAAAAAAACAGTAATTCTTTAATTTTATATACAAAAATAATTTATTAAAATTAATTAAATAAACTAAACACAAGTGAACCTGAACGCCTGGTAAATCTTCTGTCAGTAGATTTCATACAGTGGTATACAGGGTTGTTACAATAAAAACATAAAATGAAGAAGGTAAGGTAACAACAACACTTTAAGGACAGACAATTAAAAAGTCACAATGTTGCTATGGTGAGTAACGTTATAAATAACAATTGAAAGAGAAAGTGAAAGTAAGTAGATTATATGGAAGTAAACTATTAAAGGGGCTCTAGCTGTCAAATTCATGTTCACCAATTTAACTAAAATTCTCATATTTGATTTATAACAATGTAAACATTTGTCCAAACTATTGAAAGTTTTAAATTAACAGTTTACAGGTCATGAGCTCTATAATATGTAGCTTCGTTTCGTGTGTATTTTAGTCCAGACGCCATCATATTAAATATCGAGTTAACCTTTGATGACCATATAAGCGATTTAAACATAAATATAGATATAAATAGATTAAGCAACTTGTGCAATTAGATTTTTCTAGGTCTGTTTAATTTCATATTATAGATTAAAAATATATGTTTATTATTGTTTTTACCTGTATAAGAATGATTTTTTGTGGATCTAATCAGTCAATCAAATAATTAACCTTTGTTTCACTTTAAATGTTGACATTCTTTTCCCTTAAATAACTTTACACGGACAATTCATGCATTATCCATCTCTAGCTAAGGAGTTACATTGAAGTTCATATGAATACGGATGCATTGGGATTGAATTATTCACTTGCAAGTGAATAATTCATCATCAATGTTTCTTAGATTAATTTGACAAAATTGAACCATACTGGCTGCTTAAAGCCAATAATTATTTCACTATTTCACTTTCATTAATGATTGTACAAAAAAAATCATATTTTAGATTTTTTATATATCTCGTAGCTAGTGCCCCTTTGAGATAAATTAAAAATACAATTTTGTTGTTGTTAAAATGATAATATATGTGTACATGTACTATAAATTGAAAATATGTTACATGCAATTATCTAAATTAATGAATGCATACCATTACAATACAAATTATTATACCTTACATATGTACTAAACAATTCTATTGGGTAAAACACTATCACATGACATGGAATAATTCAGTAAATTTTCATTTAAATTGAAGGAAGCATGAATAATCCTAAAAATTAACACCCAGCGATGAATAACCCTACAAATTAACACCCATTGGGGAATAACCTTTTGAGCCTCTTGGTTTCTGCACAAGTTCTTTCTCGTAGAAAATGACTTCATCAACGTTTGTAAACAAAATGGCAAGCCAGCGGTTTGGGAACTCTACAGAGGACAATATACAAAGACTTCTTTGTGACAAAGACGCTAAAAACACAAAAAAAGCAACCAAAGCAGCTTTGACATGTCTGATGCAATTCATGTTATCGACAGAAAGAGATAACTTGGTATTTGATACACCAGAAAAACTGAACGAGTGTTTAATCAGATTTAACACAGACGCCAGGAAAAAAGATCATAAGCATATTACAAATTTTCAGCTCTGAAGGGATTAAGATTAGGACTAGCCAGGCATTTCCTTTAGGAAATGGATGTTGACATAATAAAAGACATATAAGATTCAAAAGGGCAAATGATATATTTAAAGCCGTTTCTTTGCAACTGAAACGGGAAGGATTTGGGATCATTGACCACACCCCATCGTTGGGTCAACAAGACTTGCAAAAGTGATATGGAAGTGTTGCCATGGAAACTGATACCCGTGCAGGACTCCCTACACAAAGTATGGTTTGATATTATGTTTCACTTATGTCGGCAAGGACAAGAAAACCTATGAGAAATGAACAAAAGAACCTTTGCCATACAAACAGATGCCAGTGGAAGGGAGTATGTTTTCCAGGCCCATCATCAGCTTGATAAGAACCATCAAGAGAGTTCAGATAGCTGCATTACTGAAGGTCGCATGTATGAGTACCAAGTAAGGAATAACTCTAATCTAACCAACTATAGAGAAAAGTTCAGCAAATTTCAAACAAACAAAAAAAAGAGAGAAAAATTGCAACTTCTAAATTACACAAAAAAAATTTAAATTTGATTTGATTGTCAAATAGGCTATTGAGACTTACATGGCTTCAATTCGTTTGCTGTATTGTTTTTAAGTTGATGAAAAATCAGAGGAAATGTTCGTTTAACTTGCATGAAAAGACATTGATCACAATAAAAATGGTAAATACCAAATAAAAAAAACCGAACTGAAACTCTTTAATTATCACTTGATTCGTATGAGCATGCCCAAGTTTATAGAAGTGAATGTATTTATAACTATTAACATGAGAAATTGACAGATTTGTTTACCTATATTTTAATTTTTTTTTTAGATCACCCTCTGTGTCCTGTGGCAACTTTCAAAAAGTACTTGTTCAAGCTAAATCCAAAAAGAGATGACTTATGGCAGTGTCCACTAAATTCTTACAACCACTCCTGTGAAATATGGTACATGAACCAGGTTTTAGGAAAAAAACTTTGGCTAACTTAATGAAAGTTATCTCCAGACAAGCTGGTCTATCTCAAGAATTTACAAACCACTCAAATCATATAAAGTTCAATTTTGGACCCTTTAGAACTCAATGTGGACCAATTTGATAAAGGGGCCCAAATATCAAAAATCTACATACATGGTTAGATTCAGCATATCAAAGAACCCCATATATTCAATTTTTCAATTTTTTTGAAATCAAACAAAGTTTAGTTTTGGACCCAGATTTGGACCAACTTGAAAACTGGGCCCATAATAAAAAATCTAAGTACATGTTTAGATTCAGCATATCAAAGAACCCCAAGAATTCCATTTTTGTTAAAATCAAACTAAGTTTAATTTTGGACCCTTTGGACCTTAATGTAGACCAATTTGAAAACGGGACCAAAAATTAAGAATCTAAATACACAAAAAACTCAATAACTCTAAAATAAAATTTTAGATCATCACCAAAAAGTATACAGATCTTTAGATTAATATAACTACGAAGTGTCTAAATTTTTAAGCAACAATCATAAATCGTTTTTGAGATACAGCGCGACATGTGTAAAAACACACATGTGGACACTGGACAGACAGACAGACAGACGGACGGACGGATGGCCGGACACCGGACATTTGTATACCATATTATGTCCCGTCAAAATTTTTACCGCCCTATAAAAAATTCTTTTATTTATCTGTGTAAAATACAGAGGTCCTTTCTTGGCAAATTTTTCATACTGCAATTAATGGTTTGTGAATTTAATTGCATTAATATAAAATTTTCATGTTTTGTTACTTTTATTATACTAAGGCATGAGTTCAATTTGAAGAAATGCAATTTAATGAATATTTACCTTCACTTTTTGCACACTTGTTGTCATTCAGTGATGATGGTCCTGCGACATCCTCTAATAATACAAAGTAAATATAGAATAACAGAATGAATTGATTTATATAGAATTGCCCAAACACTAATTAGTGAAATAACCCATTGCCAGTTAGTAATAGATTAAACAGGTCAAGAGCACATGGTAAGCCCTTATATTATGCATATATTGAAATTGTTGCAAAAATAAAATGAGGTCTTTAGAAGGCATACAATAAGAGGCAAATAAAACTGCTCTGTAGAAAAATATGCATGAGGATACCCTTAGGCATATATATGTACTGTCAATTATGACTGTAAAAGGTCCAATAACTCTGGAATGACAAACGATACATTTCAAAATCAAGAGATCATTCACCTATCCAAATAATTCCCGAAAACAGTATTAAGGTACCTGGGGTGTCTTAAAGTTTGGGGATATATGTTTCTTAAATTCCTGTAAAAGACTTCTGGGTCAATCTTCTTTCAAATTTCAATATAAAAACTAGGGGTCATAGATCTTGTTTTTTCTTTTAAATTACATTGAAATTAACCAAATCACTGTTATGTTATATGGGTTATATAGTAGAAACTCAATTTTGAGGAAAGGTTTAAAGATAGAATTGGTTAAAATTCAATGAGAGCATTCAGCTCGGCTCTCCATAAATACATACTTCCAAAATATCAAATAAAAGTAGAATGAATAACTGGGTGGACAGGTATAGTTGTCCTTATTGCACTCATACCACATTTCCTTATTTTAATAGAGATTGCAGGGTCTTTTGCTTGTACTGTGTCCATGCGGTAGAATGTGTCCCTGTGCTTGTTGTGTATGTCCTTAAATTTAACAGCTATGGGTTTTTTGCTTGTGAGAAGCAGGGATGGGGTTGATTATTTTAAAATGTAATCGATTAAATTACAATTACTTTGCTAATAAAATGTAATCGATTACATTACAAATTACACCTTATTTCAAATGTAATAGATTACATTAGATTACTTTTCTTTAAATATGTTAAAGTAATCATGATTACTTTGGATAACTTTTGATTACATTCAATATTGCAATATCAAAGAATTTCTTATAACTTTTTATCCTCACGAAAAAAGCTAATTTAGGTGATTTTTTTTAAGCCTTAATTTATTCATCTTATTTAAAAGAATTTAGACAAGTTCAGTGTAACATGTGAAAAGTAGACAAGTGTCCTTTCTCTATGTAAAAGATATAACTTTGTTTTATTCTACAAATTTTAATCAACTGCCCAATTAACAAAAAACCTGAACAAGTAATGAAAAATCAATTAAGTATAGTTTCATTGTCTGAGGGGACATAATTGACACATCCATAAATGTTTTTACAGGTGTTAATCACTACTTTTTACAAACAATAGGTGAGCTTGGGTATTAAAATTTTATTGTCTTAATCACAATATCAACAAGAGGTTCTCAAGAGCCTGAATCACTCAGCTGTATTTCAGAGGAGAAGATTTTTAAATGTTAGTAAACTTGATGAACAAATTGTGTTAAATTGTCTTTAAAGGGCAATAACTCCTTAAGGGGTCAATTGACAATTATGGTCATATTAAATTTTTTGTAGATCTTACTTTGCTGAACATTATTGCTGCTTACAGTTTATATATATCTATAATAATATTCAAAATAATAACAAAAAACTGCAAAATTTTGTTAAAACTACCAATTCGGTGGCAGCAACCCAACAATGGGTTGTTCGATTCGTCTGAAAATTTCAGAGCTGATAGATCTTGACCAATTGAACAATTTTACTCCTGTCAGATTTGCTCTAAAAGCTTTAGTTTTTGAGATTTAAGCCAATAAAATGCTCCGCTGAGGCGCAGCTTGATACGACCCCAGAGGTCGAACCCTGAACAGTTGGGGCAAGTATGGACACAACATTCAAGCTTGATACAGCACTGAATTTGGATTGTAATTAAATATTTGACACAGCATAGGTTTCTCACTAAGAATGAAAGTGGTCTAAGAACTTAAAAATTTTTAATTTACCTATTCAAACCATATCATTATTATTTGTTTTTATATATAAATCAGAAATAACGAATTTAAAATGGAAAATTTTAAAGAAAAAGAAGGAAAAAAAAATCCCCCCCAATTTTTTGAACCCCCTTATGATTCATCACCCCCAAACTCAATCCCAGCTTTCCCTTTGTGGTATGGTACCTTGCAGTACAATTTCAGAGAGATCCATACACTTGAAAACAAGTTATTGTCTGGAAACTAGAAAAATGCTTGTTTTTTGGCCCCTTTTTGGCCCCAAATTCCTAAACGTTTCAGGCAATTACCCCCAAACTCAAACCCAGCTTTCCCTTTGTGATATGGAACCTTGCAGTACAATTTCATAAAGATCCATACACTTACACACAAGTTATTGTCCTGAAACTAGAAAAATGCTTGTTTTTTTGCCCCTTTTATGGCCCCTAATTACTAAAATTTTGAGGGAATTACCCCCAAAATCAATCCCAGCCTTCCCTTTGTGGTATGGTGCCTTGCAGTACAATTTCAGAGAGATCCATACATTTGAACACAAGTTATTGTCTGGAAACTAGAAAAATGCTTATTTTTGGCCCCTTATTCCTAAACTTTTTGGGCAATTACCCCCAAACTCAATTCCAGCTTTCCCTTTGTGACATGGAACCTTGTAGTACAATTTCATTAAGATCCATACACTTACACACAAGTTGTCATGAAACTAGAAAAATGCTTGTTTTTTGCCCCTTTTTGGCCCCTAATTCCTAAAATTTGGACGCAATTACCCCCAAAATCAATCCCAGCATTCCCTTTGTGATATGGAACCTTGTGATACAATGTCAGAGAGATCCATACACTTACACACAAGTTATTGTCATGAAACTAGAAAAATGCTTGTTTTTTGCCCCTTTTTGGCCTCTAATTCCTAAAATTTGGAGGCAATTACCCCCAAAATCAATCCCAGCATTCCCTTTGTGATATGGAACCTTGTGGTACACTGTCAGAGAGATCCATACACTTACACACAAGTTATGTCTGGAAGTTACAAAAATGCTTATTTTTGGCCCCTTTTTTGCCCCTAATTCCTTAACTGTGGGTACCATAACCCTCAAAAGCAATCCCCACCTTCCTTTTGTGGTATTGAACCTTATGGTAAAATTTATTGAGATCCATTCACTTAAACTAAAGTTAGAGTGCGAAAACTAATGTGTCTTCGGACGACAACGACGTCGCCGACGACGACACCAACGTCCTTCCAATATACGACCACAAAAAATTTTTTGCAGTCGTATAAAAACTACATTTGACCCCTATGTTCTATTTTTAGCCATGGCCGCCATGTTTGTCGATGGATCAAAACTTCGGATACAATTTATAAACTAGATACCCTAAGAAACATTTAGTTAAAGTTTGAAGGTATTTGGTCCAGTAGTTTCAGAGGAGAAGATTTTTGAAATAGTTTACGACGACAGACGACGACAGACATCGACAACAGACAACGGATGACGATGGACGCCAAGTGATGGCATAAGCTCACATGTGGCCCTTCGGTGAGCTAATAAAGTTAAAAGTGGTTTATTGTCATTATTTATATAATTGTTTAAAAAATATTAATACTTGATGTAATTAGAAAGCACATACCAAAAAATATTTATGGACATTTTTGTTGTTCCTTGCATGATTGACAACTTGAACTCATTGTTAGAGTCCATTAACTTTGAAACATTCAAAGGATTTATATAAGTTCAAGCTTCAAGTGATGGTTAGCTTGCCTTGGCTAACAAATTTAAAGTCGACAGTAAAATTGACAAATCACTGCATCTCGCATCTAATTATCAATTCTATTGAAAAAGCTTTTGAAAAAGCTTATCTACCATGCCTTTCCAAATCCAAAAGGCTTTGCAGTAGCCCTAAACACATGAAACAGTTTCAAAACTACTTTTGAAAACGTCTACTAAAAGATTATCTACTAATTACTGTAGAGTCATAAATTTTTACCATGTTTTTTATTATTGCAAAAATTGTGGTGAGAAAGGACTTGCAAAACTCCCATCTAAAATTTGGATAACATTATTTCTATGCAGCTTTTCCATAAATCTCAATAATCAAACTCGCATTTGTTTCGATTGTTCAATGATCACAATAATTTCTAAATCTGTTTAATCTAAAATTTTATAGATGACAGAGTGAATACTTGACCCATTTAAAATTTTTATTCATATTTTGCATGAGTAATTGAGTAAGCAATGTAAAAAAAAATGATAATAAATAAAAGGGGCTTTACCACCCTCTTCCAAAAAGTAGAAGTTTAGATTGCTAGCATGCTTTTAATGAAAAAAGGAGGAAATAACACTAATGCCACTATATCAGAAAATAATACCTTGACTATTGGGTTCCTCTTCTCCTGTTTTATTACCTGAATCTAAAACAGAAACAATGCAATTGTTATTTAAACAAAACCTATAAAACACTTCTCATAATAAGATAACTGTTGACACAGAGATATGTCTCACCAGTAATATCAGCATAAAATTCTGAGGAAGAGTCAGATGAAACCTGTACACTATTGAATCAATATAGTTGACCTCCTGAATATGACATCTGACATACAGACTTGACCATGAAAACTTCCCCTTTATGACTGATACATAAATGTCTCAGGTGAGGTCTGATGAACCTTGTCTGACAGACATGTACAGATATGTACACCTTGCAAAGGTCCTGTATACAAAATATAGTTATCCTATTACTCATAATAATGAGTATTTCAAATGATAAAAAATTTATACATTTTTTGTATGCAGTCATTAAACTATGAAAATGAGGTCAAGGACAATGGACATTTGACAGACAGAAACTTTATAACATATGGTATCTGCACAAAAAGATATGAAAACCTAAGGTCTACTAATTTCTGAAATATAAATTGTATACAAATAGTTTACTCTGCTGTCAATGCCGACAGATAATAATCCTTATAGCTCCCATTCTAAGGCTTTTTCAGAAATGGTATTTTAAACTTTTTTGAGTAAAATGTAACTATCTTGTTTGATAGAATAGACAATTTAGATCAGAACAGCTATAAATCTGATGTTTGGACCATGTAAAATCAATATGTTTACACGATTTAGCTTAGAACATAAATGAAACTCACCTAAATCAAATTGGTGAAAGAACTTCCCCACTTTAGTTATTTCTTGTATTGCCAATGGACATTGATAAACGTGTTTGTTAACTTCTTCAGAATGTCCCATATGTCTGTAGAAGGCTTCTCTTGTAGCATCTGTTACCTCCAAATTGGCAAATAATGTTGACATGTAATGCCTCATCTGAGTAGCATTAATCCTTTTTGATAATTCTGCCTTCTTACAAATTTTGTTTACACTTTTCCAGCCGCATACATGAAAGTTTGAATCTTTAATATTAGGAAATACGTATATATTAGTTTGTTTAACACCTGCTGCTTGTCTAATTTGCTGATCTGTTAGTTTTGTCATGGCCTTCCATGTGTCTTCAGGGATGAGAATTGGGAGAAGGTGACTAACACATTTACCAGATTGATATGTCAATTTATATTTCTGAAAAAGTTCCAACTCCTCTGGGTTTTTCACCTTTTTCATTTGGCTTTCATCTACCCATGCATCATCCTTTGCATCCATCCATTCTTTTAAAGTGAGTCTGCTTGGTTCCCCTCCTCTTTTTGCATGGAATAATGTTAGTCTACTAACTATAAGATCTCTGAGAAAGGTATATTCATTTGGTTCTAAAAACTTATAAGGGTCATCCAACTCTTTTAT